AATCTGGTCTTATATGTTGAATATAAGAGTAGATCTTTCTATGTAGCATTGGTCTATATTCCAATATATACTAAATAAGATTCTCTTATCTAAGGGCTAAGGTACACTTCCGGGAGGAGGGCCTTTAAAAGATCCCCTTAAATAACTCTTTTAGTATTTCGGATATCTCTGCCTAGCGATAATAAGCGAGAGAGAACTTTATTATTAATAGAGAGGCGGACGTTATCGTAGCTAAGGCTAATAATAATAAACCTACTCGCTAGCTCTACTATCGAACGAGTAATTAAGTAACCGAAGAAGGTATTCGCTTACTATTCTCTTTATACTTCGATAGCTTTTAGCTTATTCGTAATAAGATATTACTTATTCTAGGCGCGTTATACTTATATCCTTTAGCCTTCAGATTACCTTCTCTGGAACTCCTTATATCTTCCGAGCCTCTCTATAGTTCTTCCTTATTAATATACTAATACAGTAAATTAATAGCACGCTCTATATAATTATAATTTATAAGTAGCCTATCGAATAGTTAAGATACGAGCTTATATACCTAAAGCTACTTATAGCTTCGAAGAAGCTAAAGGGTATTCTCGATACTATTAATAGGCTATCTATATACCTCGATATCTCTTAGGAGGTTATCGTTATCTATATCGATCAGAATTCGTATACAAAGATATACGAAGGTATATAAGGGTATAGTAGGGGGGTTAGAAAGAGAGATTTTATAAAGTAAGGTTTTCAAAGTAAAGTTTAGGGCTTTTAGTATTTTATATTCTAATACTTTATAGGGGATTTACTATATAGTCTTTTTAAACTAGTAACAAACTTATAATAAATAAAGGAAAATCGTAGTAATAAGCGTTTAATCGGTAATAACTAGTAGTAATAAGTATCGTTCCCCTTCTTATTATAATAGGAGAGCCGTCCCTTAGCGATATAAATAAGTGTAAGGTATAAGGTATTTTAGTGCCTTAGGCGAAGGATCTTTTTTGGCCGAAAAAGTATCTCGTAGTATCAGTAAAATAATCGTTTAAATAGTAGGATAAAAGAGTTATTATATTACTCTTAGTTAACTAATTAGTCTTTGCTTCCGAAGGTAGCTAGTCTATATAATATCCTATATCCTATCAGAATCTCTTATTTTATAAGGGTAGAATCTTTTAAGTCTATTACTATTAATTATATCTGTATTCTTATCTCTGATATAATATAGGATAGTGCCGTTAAGTTCCCTAATAGAGTAGGATCTATTTCCTTTAATAGACTTAATCTAGTATAATCTAAGCTATCGAAAGCGAAGCTTCTAAATAAATATTATATCTAAAGACCTTTAACTATTATATAGTAAGATATAGTTATCTTTCTTAAGCGGAGTGTCACGAGTGCGATAATAGTCGTTAAAGTATCTTATATTATTCTCCTTAAGGCGGTTTATTTATAGGATAGCTTCCTTAATATCCTTCTCTCGTCTTTTAATCTATCGTACGCGTATTATAATAAGACTCGGTCTATCCTAGATAGTTACCTATAATAATATACTCTATATAGGTATCTTTAGTTTAACCGACAAAACTATATATACCCTAAATAGGAAATAGTATAGGCTAATTCCGGTAGTAATATTAATAGTCACTTAGTCTGCTATTAATCTTAGAGAGTGCGTCCTTTAATATTCTTATAGAACGCTTAACCGGGCTATTTGAGCTAGGATAATATACTAAAATAGTGACCTTCTTAATATCGCGGTCTTTAAGGAATTTTAGTGTCTTACTACGGTTTTTAGGTCTATTATCTATAATAATCTTTCTTAGATATCTATAGCGGTAGATAATATCTTTGTAAATAAAACTCTAGATTACTTTAGAATCTACGCTAGTGAGGACTCGTGCTTTTACCTAGCCACTAACTAACTCTCGCCCTTAGACGACAGATTTAAAGCTATCCTTATCTAGTATATAGGTAGTATTAATAAATCACTTATTAAATAGCCTTAGGTTCTTTAGGGTGATAGCGGGCTTATATATCCGTGTTAGGTCTCGTGCTTAGTATTCGATTTAGGTTCTAATAAATGCGGCGGTATCTTTAAATATTCGTGGCTAATAGTATTAGTACTTTAATAATATATAAGTGGCTTCTCGACCTTTATAGGATAAATCTGTATATACGCTATATAGTATATTCTATTAGTCTTCCTTATTATCGAGAATACGTCGTAAGATCTCTATTCTTCCCTTCTATTAATAGAAGAGGTGGCCGTCTTAGTAAACGAACTTTATATAGCGTTTCTTAAAGTGGTAGAATTAACTACGAGACATTTCTGGCGGTCTTCTTAGTGTAATTAGGTACCGCGCGATATCTTATTGTCAGCATATTCAAGGACTGTCAGCATTACCTTTAGTCATCCAAGAAGACTATGATCTTTATAATTGGTCAGGTAAATACGAAAAGCCACCTAATTATAATAGGTCTATTAAAAGGTGTTCTATGGATAGAACATTAATGATGCCTTGATATAGGTCTAGACTATTGATGATACCTTGACAATAGGTCTAGACTAAAAATGATGCCTAGACTATAATTGATTTCAAAGCAAGACAGGCCTAGACTTAAAACAATGCAAGTCTAATATAGGCCTAGAATATTCTTGATTGGATATAAATATGTCCGCAATTCCCTACAAGAAAAATACAATTCTTCTTCAATCATCATATCATACCCTGAGGTTTCCTATTAAGGAAATATTCTTTTATTCATCGAAGGATAAAAGACTTGATCTCCCATTTGATCTCCCACTGGATCTCCCACACTTATGATTCGATCGAATAACCCTCTCTAAGAGGCAGGACTATAGCGTCAGCGGTAGGGTTATTATCCTTATCCTTATCTATTATAACAGCGGCACGCGCTAGGAAACAGCTCGCCCGTAAGTAGGACACTTCCGTATTAATAAAGTTATCAACGTTAACCTCCTACTATTATTGCCTAATTTCTTCTTTAGTAGCAGGACGCCTTAAAAGCCTATCTGCTGCGCTATTCTTCCTCCCTAATATATACTTAACGTTAAAGTTAAAGAGTCAGATCTATACTATCTACCGAGTTACTAGTGCACTAGGTAGGTCGGCTATAGGGCGATTTAGTTAGGACACTAATATTTTCGCGTCTGTTTCTAATATAAAGTAGATACTGTGACGCATGGTTCAGGGAGAATTCGAGGAGAGGTCACATGTGGTGAGCTAGTCCCGAATGGGACACGGGGGAGGGTATTGTTTGTAGTTGTTCTCTTTCTCTTTCTCTCTTCCCTTTCTTTCTCCAGTTTAGAACTTTTCGAATAGCACACGACTTCTTTCGTACTGGCTTGTGACAGATACTATATAACTAATATCGGAACTTCTTCAATACTATTAGTATAGCGCGATATTCTAGTTTGCCCGTATTATAGGTAAGCTACGTCTCTATTTATATACCTAATTTATATCGCGCGGGTTTCCTAATACTATCTTATTCTTATATTAGGACGGCGCCCTAACCCTTTCTAGATATATCTACCGCGATAATAATTATCAGAGGCTTAAAGTTATAGTTAATAGGTAACACAGTAAGGAATATAGAGAGCACTTCTTTAACCTAATCGAAAGCGGATTGCTACTTCGCCCCTTACTAAAATAGGGTATTCTTCCTTAGGTAGGTATATAGGCTATCTATAATAATCTGAAACCCGGCTACTAGAATACGGAAATAAATAGCTAATCTCACAAAAGAGCGTAATTTATCTTTAGTCGATAGGGTTAGCTAATTAATAAGCTTCGCTACCTTACTCTCTATAGCGCGGCGCCTATTAATATCGCAGACCTAGCTAATAACTTTAATACCTAATATAATAAATTAAGATTTTTCCGCTAAGACAGTAGCACTAGCTAGCTTAAGAAGATATAAAGTCTCGTTAAGATTCTAGAGGTACTCGAGGATAAACCTATATATTCCTAGTAATATAAACTTATTATTATATCGGGACCGCGGCCCTTTAACTATAACGTCGTCTAGAAATAACCTAGTAATAATACCAAAAATTAAATATAAGATCTATAATATCATATTTAAGAATTATAGTACTAAATTGGCCGCGCCTTATAGGATAGTGGTCTGTCGTAGAAGGTCTAGCGGGGTTTAAATAGTAGTGAGGTCCCTATTTTCTTCTGCGAGGGTAATCTAATTATATCCGGAATAGAGGTTAACTAAAGAGGCTAATATAAGTCCCGTAAATTCTTTAGCGAACTTATTAATATCCGGGGGTATATTTATGTCTCGCTTTATAACCTTATTAATTAGTATCGTAGTATTAATTAACCGATACTTACCTACGCCTTTTTTCTTTACTAGGAACTATAGGTTTCTGTACGGACTATTATATAGCTTAAGGATACCCTTTTGCAGTCTTTCTCGGAGTATCTTATTAATAATAGGCGCGAGAGTATAAGGAATCTTAAAGCTAGGATATTACTAAGCTTTATAGGGCATAGTCTTAATACGCTAGGCCGGTATAACTTCTTCACGAATACGACTTATATATTCCTAAGACTATATAAGTACCCCTTTCCCTCTTAAATAATAGCTTATATAGTAGTAGTCTCTCTCTAAGGAGAAGAGCTATATTAATAAGTAGTGTTTCCTCTCTCTTAGGCGTAAGCCTAGCCCCTCTCGCAATAGTTATTATACGAGGTCGTAGTAAGTTATCGAATTCGGAGGAAGTATTAGCGGCGCGGTACTTTGTGTAGTACTTTTCGAGGTATATCCTTTATCTACCCACGGTTAAGGAAGTATCTCTTGATATCGCAGTCAATCATCGCATACGTAAGCTTTTTCAACCTACATAGAAAACGGTACCTCATCTTTTGCAAGGAAGCTAGGACCTGCGACTTGAAATTCCTACCATGAATACAAAAAAGGGTACATGTGAGTCGGAAATTCGCACATACCATGTCTTCAACCCTGGATAGTTTTTACCTCCTTCTTATTAAGTCACACACTAGACCCTCCTGCTGGACGAACCACGAATTCTTCGTCTTCCACTCGCTCCCGGGCTTATGCAGCTGAAAGGTGAAATCGCGCAACAGCTGTGGAATAATTTTATGCATCTCGATGAGCGAGATATTCTTCCCCACACAAGTCCGGGATCCAGAACCAAACGCAAAAAAGCTCTGCTCCATTACTTTCAATTCCTCCGTGCTACTCTCCAGCCAACGGCCCGGAATAAATGACTCGGGATCCGGAAACACCTTTGGATCGTGATGCAGGACCCAAGCATTGATGCCAACCGTCGTCCCAGCAGGAATGTGCTTGCCACAAAGTATGGTTCCACCTTGGGGCACATGGCGTTCCAGAATGAACCCCACAGATGGATGAAGTCTCATCGCCTCCTTGATAACGGCAGCCAAGTAGGGTAAGTGGGACATCGATTCCTTGTAAGAGATGGGACTACTAAGTCGTCCCAATCTATCAGCCTCATCAATCTCTCCAACGAGCCTATCCATGGTCTTCGGGTTACGAAGCAAGAAATAGACAATTGCCCTAAGCGCAATAGCTGTCGTATCAGAACCGGCAAAGACATTCGTCGAAAGATGCACAATGACATCCCTCGTGCTCATCTTGCCCGGATCTGAGTAGTGGATTGCCATCCAACGCGAGAGCATATCCTTCCCTTTTTCTAAGTCGCGTTTCTCCAATTCCCCATCTCGCTTCAAGGATGCCCGGGAATTCACTTGTTTCAACGTAAACTGCAGAACCTGGTTCCAGCTCTCCATGGTAGGCATGAATATCGGCATAAGCGGATTCCCCAATAGAAGTTGATGCGCTTCAGGAACCTGCCCGCATAGACTAGCATACGCCAAGATACCCTGAATCCCACTCATCATATCATCGACATCGCGGCCTTCCTGCAGGAAGCCCAGTTTCTTTGCGAAGGTGAATTCTCCCACCACATCGAAAGCATAGTACTGTAGCCAGGTGCCCAAGTCAATCGGCCTCTTCTTGTCCGCGAAATCTTGCAGCTGGGAACAGAAAATCTCTGTGCAGGAATCGACAGCCGGTTCGAGCTCAAGGAGCGAAGTCACGCTATAAGCATTCGCGACAGGTCGCTTCTGCTCTCGATGGAACTGCTCGTCGCGGGTAGAGAAGAGGTTCATTTGAGGCGTCTTGTTCCAGGATATACATTGGATGGGGTAGAATCCTGTCTATAGTGTACCACCAGTCAGCCCATCGGTCAGTTTGCTATCGAGGCAAGAACAAGTAGGAGTGCCTTAGGTAGACCGGCCTACCTTCGTAAAGCCTTTATTCAGCCCATATATCACGGGGATTGCAGCGGGATCAGCGACCGAAACGTGGCGAGGGCCAATACGGACGAGCGGGCCATGTTGCCGATGGAGTTTTATTTCTGTACGATGGTGGTCTCCCTTCCACACGCTATGGAGCTTCCAGAGTCGTGTACATTTAGCAAGAGCTGGCCCTGGGATGCCAGATAATCTACCCCCGAATCTTCTCCAGAGGAGGCGGAGGGCAAGCAAGCTCACAAGCACAAAAAGAACGTTGGGCTGGAAGGCACCAAGGAGGTATGTATGAAGCATGACGCTCAACTGGAATAGCAATTTATCAATTCAAGTTGGAAACAGGAGAAGCAGCGTTAGCCGAGCAAACGCTTGACCTTTTGTATCGGAAGACGTATGCTAACCCCAAGGCTACCCCAAGGGCATTGTCCTCATTATGCGGGGTATCTCCACTATCGGGAATCCTCCATATTCCACGGATAATGAACACTTCCGAAATGACACAGAAAAAGGGAACTAGGGATGTTTGACGCACCTAATCAATGCCGCGATAGGTCTGTCCATCCCTGGAACTGGACCTAAAGCCGCCATATGAAACCTGAAGCAGGATTAACAGACCCTTCGGATGGCAAGTCGGAAGCAACAAGGTTACCTTAGTCTCAACTTAAATAGAAATCCGGATCTATGCCTTGGTCACCAAAGCAAACATCGGAAGTACTTTAACTTTTACGATACAATAGTACCTCCCAAGGAGGAAGAACAGCGCAGAACTCGCTAAATTCAGGGTTACGAGCGTGTCTCTGCGCAGATCCAGAAGCCCCGCTTGCCTTCCTGTGTTGATGCAGAGGTCGCAACGATGCATAGAGCTTTGCTGATTTTGCAACATTTGCCTATATTGATATTGGGTAGAGTTACTAGAGTGGAAATGGTGACATGTTTGCTGTTCGGACCGATACGTCGTGATTGTGATGTGGCCCAATCGGTGGTGATCCTAGCCGATGGGTCTGTCTATTTAGCTTAGTCTGATGATCCTCGGGTAACTTCTAAGCACACCAATTACTAGCTTAAGAGAACATCATTACGCGTACCTTCATAGAATATACTGAAGGGAGAAATGCCCATCTTATATTCGTCCGGATGGCCCGAACGCCTGTGATGCCGGACGTGAGTGTACTATATGCATCTAAATCTATCCTGTGGAAAGAGTCCCTATTACTTAAACAGAATGCACACCCGGAAATAGTATCAAAAACAATGAAGCAGAACGACAAAATCTAAAAGTGATGATAGGTCCATTAAACGTGGGTGCTGAGCTCCTTACTCCCAAAATCACCTTCCCATGCATATCCTCGGGAGGGGCCGGGCCTCACATTCGATATCATGCACTGTATTTGACTCGATGCAAGCTCCAGACCCAAACAGTATCACCTTGACTCTTTCGAAGACTGCCTCACTGGGCTTCTATCTCTCGATTGGAGTGGCGGGTAATGAAGGGCGTTGATTGGGCTAGGACACTCTCATCCGACACCCGAATAATCGGATCGCGATTAAGAAAACATCCACTCCTTACCGGACGCACAGGCTTCGCACGGCCAGTCCTCCAATCAGTAAGCTTCCGACTGGAGAACCGCAAGTAAGTGCGGGGTCACACTTCGGAGTGAGGAGTCAGGGGATAGTCCGGAATTCTCACCTCTTTTTCATTGGCAGATGCTCCTGCCCTATAATAAAACAAATCGGTTTCATGGCCCGAAAACACGCACTTTCTTTGTTGGTAGGGACTTAGCCCACAGTTGACTATTGACCAATACGAGAAGATTGGGTTCAGAATGTAGGGTAAGGAGCCTGGTCGAACAGCTAAAATTGGGAGTACCATAAGTGGAAGATAAGGCGACTACAGATCATTAGACTACTTAGGGTTCTAGTGTTTCGGGCTTTCTACCGTACTGTTCCCTTCGAAATGGTATACTATTCCACGCTTTTTGTCCGTGGGCCTATAGTAAAGTCTCCGGTAGACGGCAGGAACCTGTTCTGCTGTTACACGTAAATCGCCCGTGCGTTTTCAACTAATCACTACGGCCTATTATTGCCTTTATTTTCTATCGACTCTATCTCACGCGTCTTCACACGGGACGCGTTCGGAAAAATGAATGAAACATAAGTCTTTAATATTAACACTTTTTTCCCTCATGTCCAAAAACGTGGTTGAAGGAGGTGGTCATCTACCATATGTGGTTGGGTGGAATGTGATGTATTCCTGTGAGAGTTTCCGCTTAACTTCAGGAGAATAACGACGTTAGCGAGTGCAGTCTAGTCTATCTTTTGGTGTGAAATCCGGTTGAATTTATCGATGAAATAACTCTCAGAATCAAGCAACTCTAAACGAGCGATCACTTTAAGTCGGTTTTGATTGAAAGGTTCTCTAGCTAAAATTAGACATCTGTAGTCATATAGGAATGCCCAGAGAGCAACTCCTACACCCGAACATAGCACGGGCTTGGGACTAGACTTTAGTCCTATGGTTGGTATCACTTGTTCATGTTTTCTAAGTCCCGCCAAGCGTCCTACGTTACTAAGCTCAAAATTAATACACGTTTATTATGGATTTTAGTTTAGACAAAGCGGATAGATAGGTAGGTATACAAGCTGCTTATATATTGTAATGGTAGAGCACATGACAATGATAGCGAAAGTAAGGCCTTGGGTGTTAAAGATGCCTCGGGCAAAGGCTGTATATTCAGTATAGAGTTGGAGATAGATTAGACCACTACCAACTTCATTCCAGTTGTCCCCACATTCTTTGACTCGTGATACGGCATTGAGGGTCATACACATTTAATCTATCATAAAAACCACGGGCCCGTCTGTTACAGAGTAGGAATGTTTTTGTGTATTCTTATGTTCGTGTTGCCTGGTCTGCATTAGACCTCATAAAAAACATTTTCAGGGCGGCATCTCCCGCTCTCCGCCTAACCCTCGCGGGCGGAGGGCGGGTCCTTACCTACCCTTACCTAGCCCTTAACCCTTATAAGGGCCGCCCTTAACCGCCCTTAACCGCCCTTATCTGCCCTTATTTTGTCAGCATATTCAAGGTCTGTCAGCATTACCTTTGTCAGCATTATCAAGGACTGTCAGCATTACCTTTAGTCATCCAAGAAGACTATGATCTTTATAATTGGTCAGGTAAATACGAAAAGCCACCTAATTATAATAGGTCTATTAAAAGGTGTTCTATGGATAGACTATTAATGATACCTTGACATAGGTCTAGACTATTAATGATGCCTTGACAATAGGTCTAGACTATTAATGATGCCTTGACAATAGGTCTAGACTAAAAATGATGCCTAGACTATGATTGATTTCAAAGCAAGACAGGCCTAGACTTAAAATAATGCAAGTCTAATATAGGCCTAGAATTTTGTTGATTGGATATAAATATGTCCGCAATTCTCTACAAGAAAATATAATTCTTCTTCAATCATCATATCATACCCTGAGGTTTCCTATTAAGGAAATATTCTTTTATTCATCGAAGGATAAAAGACTTGATCTCCCATTAGATCTCCCACTGGATCTCCCACATATTTAGATAAAAGAAAGTTAACTATTCCTAATTTAGATATTATTGGAATATAGACCAATGCTACATAAAAAGATCTATCCTTATATTCAACATATAAGACCCAAAAAACATCGATCACATGACCTGACCTTTTTTGTATCAAAATGATGTTTTGACCACTTCTGATTCTGGCCCACGACCCCCCCCCGAACGATAGGCGGGACCATTTTCCTTTAGGGGTAAATAGTCCGCCTTCAGATATGAATAGTCCGTTCCTTCGGGGGTATCTTCGGGCATACCTTGCCCGCGAACCTCGGCAATAGTCTTCGGACCTTAGTGAACAGACTTCGACCCTCGATCCCCTTAAGGATAGGCGGACCACTTCCCTTAGGGGCAAAATAGTCCACCTTTGCGTATACATAGCCTGATCATACGGGGGTGCCTTCGGGGTGGCTTAGACTGTCGATCCTTGACATCATTCTTTTGGCTTTTCTTCGGTTCCCTTCTTTGCCACCTTTATTATGTTGCTGCCTAGTATTTGTATGTCATTCTAGACGTTATTTCTAGGCTATTTTAGCCTATAAATATGTCCTTCTTTTCTAGCAGAAAGAATCAAGTCAGTTCTACTTTCCAAAAGTCATCTCTACCTTCTTCCTTTGAACCTCAGGACTGTGGTTCTACCTTCGTTTAGGGTATATCTGCTTATAGTCTATCCTACGACCTTTGACCTTTCACCTTTGTCTGGCACCGACTGACCCAGCCGGACTAAGGTTGATCCCACGGACTTAAGGGGCCACGATCTGCTTCGTGGTAGCTTTCCCCTTATATCCCAATAGATTCTAATTAATTTGTCTTACTAAACATAAATTATATATAAAGAAAGCGGAAGCCTAACTTATTTTTTGAAATATTAATAAATAAGAAATATATTATTATTAGTTTTACTTCTATTCTTCTTTCTCTCTTCCCTATTCTCTATCCCCTCTATTAAAATAAAAATATATATTCACTTTCCTTTTTAATATATCTTTATATATATTTACTATATATTAATAATCTTTAGTATATTATTATAGTAAATCTTACTAACTGCCCTAGTTTAGGCCTTAGTAAAGCTATATTTATAAATAGTTTAGTATTAAATATCACTAATCCTTATCTAGAAACGGGTTATATATATAATATATAGCTACTAAATATATACTAAATATACACTAAATATATACTAAATATATACTAAATATTGAAATGGGAACGGCTCGATGGCTATCTGGCGATGCAGACTGGACAACACACACAC